ATCCCGACGAAACATGGGAATTGTTCTCAGGTACCCTAGGATCCTTTAATGAATTCCTTAAAAACAATACCAAGGAAAAAGAACCTGGGCAAACCTGAGTCAACAAACATGAACTGTTTACCGGCTCAAACCTGAAGAAATTGCTGACATTTCTTATGCAATGTCAATTCAATTTTCGGGACCACCCAGCTGCATTTGCAACGGATGACCGAAAGGTAAATTTTGCACTCTCGTACCTTAAGGATTCCGCAGCAGCCTGGTTTGAACCCACATTCTCCGGCCTCACCTCCAAAGATCCCGATTGGCTTCACGATTGGGATGCCTTTGTTGAGGAACTTGAAACAAACTTTGGTCCCTACAACCAAACAGGCGATGCTGAAACCACGCTTTCTAATCTCAAAATGAAAGACACCCAGCACATCACCAATTACATCGTCCAGTTCAACAACCTCGCCGCACATTGCGACTGGGGCGATTCAGCCCTCCATTACCAGTTTTACTCCAGCCTCCCATCTCGCCTCAAAGATGAAGTTTCCAAAGGAGAGACCGGCAAACCAAAGACTCTCCCCCTCATGCATCTAAAGGCCCAAAATGCGGATGCCCAATACTGGGAACAACATTCAGAAATTAGTCGCGAAAACCCATCAGACAAAAAATCATCGGACAATAAGAATGCCAACAATTCTGGTAATCAAAACACCAACAATAGTAGCAACTCGAACTCCAATAAGAAGTCTGAAAACAAGGGTTCTAACGACAAAAAAGGCAAGGGCAAACAGTCAAATAAGTCTCAAGATAAAGACAAACCTGACTTAATTGGCAAACTCAGCTCCGACGGCAAGCTCCTACCATAGGAAAAGCAATGCCGAATGGACAACAACCTTTGTTTGTTGTGTGCAGATCCCGGACACTGAGTCGCTGCATGCCCGAAGGTCACAAAAGCCCGATCAGCCAATACGGCCACGACCTCACAACTGGCTAAGCCAGCTGCCGAGTCAAAAAAAGATTAAGCAACTCTCTGGATTCCATGCGGTTGGAGAGTTGTGTAGAATCTCCCCGCACACCGGAAAATTGACATCTTAACACATCCGCCCTGTATGATCCTAATTCCTTGTTTATAAATCTTACTTCGGAACCTCGGGAGTCTCACCTTTCGAGCTCTCATAGATTCAGGTTCAACCCATTGGTTTATAGATACAAGTTTTTCCCAAAAAAATCAGTTAAAAACCTATGCAATAGATCTGATTCCACTCCGACTCTTTGATGGTACCTCAAACTCTGTAATCTTGCAAGCCTGCAAACTCTGACTTTGGTTCCTGTGTGGAACCTTTCAGACAGTTATATTTTTTGTAACACAGTTGGACCCAAGCTGCTCCATAGTTCTAGGACATATGTAACTGGCTCACCCACTACAATCCATTGATTGATTGGGTATTGGGCAGTATCCATTTCCGAACCCCGTTGGCACCCGATACGACTGGTCCATTTCCGCCTGTTTTGGCAAATATGGCCTCTACAGCACCTCCAGCCCCTGTGGCAAATCCGAGCTCTCCGCCACCCATCTCTCTAATAAACGCTGCAGCTTTTATGAGAGCCATCAAGTTGGACGGCTCCCGAGCATTTACAGTCAATCTTAAAGTTGATGAAGACACCAGTCACTTTGCATCCCCAGTGACCGAACCGATCGCAGATTTGGAAGGTGTTCCAGAAAAATACCATGAATTTGCAGATGTCTTCAGTAAACAAAAAGCTGATCGACTTGCCCCTCACAGGCCTTATGATTTGAAATTTGATATTGAAGAAGGTTCACATCCGCCCCTAGGCCCAGTTTATCCTCTCTCGCAGTCCAAGTTATTGGCTATCCAAGATTTCTTGGATGAACATTTGGCTATAGGATTTATCTGACCCTCAAAGTCTCCTTATGGAGCCCCTGTCCTATTCGTTCGGAAAAAGGATGGTTCCCTTCGGCTTTGCATTGACTTTTGAGGACTAAATGCGATCACTCGAAAAGATAAGTACCCATTACCACTAATCTCCAATTTACTCAATGCCCCCCGGAAGGCCCGAATCTATACAAAGATAGACCTCAAGCACACCTATCATTTGGTTTGGATCGCCGAAGGCGACGAATGGGAAACGGCTTTTCGCACTCACTATGGCTCCTTCAAATGGTTAGTGATGCCTTTCAGCCTCACCAATGCTCCGTTGGTCTTTCAATGTTTTATCAACAACATCTTTTCTGACCTCCTCGATGTCTTTGTCATTGTGTACTTAGATGACATCCTCATATTCTCCAAAGATCCTACACTTCATGATGAACACGTTCGTGAAGTCCTGTGAAGACTCCGAAAACATGGTCTTTTCACAAATGGTAAAAAATGTTCTTTTGATGTCAACACAGTTGAATATTTAGGTTTCATGATGGGACCCAACGGTCTCCACATGGACGACTCCAAAATTCAAGTCATTCAAGAATGGCCGGAACCCTGAAAGGTTAAAGATATTCAATCCTTTTTAGGCTTCGCCAATTTTTATCATTGTTTCATTCACAACTACTCAAAAATTACCATTCCGCTCACTCATCTTACTCGTAAAGACACCTCGTGGAATTTCTCCGAAGAATGCCGAATGGCATTCTGAGAATTGAAAAGTACGTTTACATCTGCCCCTATTTTGTCGCACTGGAAGCCCAACATTCAACTCATTGTGGAAACTGATGCCTCAGACTATGTGCTTGCTGTGATATTGTCCATTTTGGACTATGTGCAGTTGTCACACTGTGACATGTCTTCACCTCCATTTACACTCATATGAGTCAAAATCAGACACCCATTGACTCAACTAGTCCTGCTACAGTGAAGAAATCAAGTCTAAAAGGTCAGTGTGATAGTGTGGACCGCAAGACAGATACCAACAAAAGGCAGCAGCACCTGCCTTATCCATTCTGAGTGTGTTACATATGATTCCATTTTTTTAAACATATTTCACACTCTGATAGATGTTCAGTTTCATGTTCCATACATGGATGGAAGCACAAAAGTGGTTGGGATAGTTGAGGCTACAGCTAATGAGCCATATGACACTGTCATTGAAATGATATTTTTGACTGGTATGCTAATCCACTGTCATCCTAAGAAGTAGCCTGCACTTGTTGTTAGGTTTACAATGGACAAGCAAACTGTCTACAACTTCCAAAGTCCCCTTTTTTGGTTTTTTGTCTTTTTTTTGCTTTTATTTTATACTTTGACATGAGACCTTTGTTTATATTACCTGGTTTTTCTTTTCGTTTTTTTTTATTGGTCCATCCTCCTTGTCTTGGATGCAATTTGCGCCATCTGCATTCTTTAGGGTTTTAAACATGCTCATTTCAATCAAGAATCTAAATCATGTTGATGTAGAGTTTCAAGAATTGAGATAAATTTGCCTGCCTGCCTGCCACCTGAAACCTTTTTATAATTGCCATGGTTCGCCAGCCTTGGTGGCGTTGACCTTGCATCCCTTTGTAGAGCCAGTGGGGGAGCGGTTACTATTGACGTGATTTATACTAGTAATATATACATAATCATAGGAAACACCATTGCTTCCTGATCAGTGTTAAGTGTACATCAGTGTTCTAAAAATCAACTAGAGTAAGTAAATATTCCTTCAATCCTTCCGCCATGCCGTTTTAAAGAGTGGTCGTGTTGGACAGCTGGAGGCTGTACGGAGAAGAAGTCACCGTAGTTATTTCATCTGAGCATTGGTTCACCTACGGAGATAGGATTGTGAATGAAAACATAAGAAAGGAAAAGAACCTTTCGGTTTCCTTCAGGACATCTTTGTCCTTTTCTGGTATAAACGGCAACACTGTTCCTATGCATCCTATTTAGCCAACCATAAAGGAAAGTTCCAGAGGCTGCCGGCCATAATTGGGAGTCCGTATAACATGATAAAACGGCGGTATAACTATGCAAAGCTATCGGCCATCAACTATCAGATAGAAGCACATCAGTACTACGACAGTGGGAAATACCCAATGTCACGCATCTCGCCGTTACAAGACCTTTGAATGCATGTGAAAAGCTTATGTAACCCCCCCCCTGGGAATGTCGTTCTTGCCACCACTACTTTTTTTTTTTTGAGACATCATGTCTTTTCTCACAGACAACTCTTGGCCAGCTGGTCTAGTTACTATCTTCGACCACGCCCGTGCGAAACATGTTGAGAATCGCTATTATGGACCGTACGACAAACTCTTGAACTATTGCTTCGGAAGCAACTTCACCTTCTACGTTGCACCTCAGAACCCTCCCACAGAGAAGAGCAGGGAGACGGTTGACTTCATTGTGTTCATTGTTGTGTTCGACCAGAACGATCGACCAGTGCTCATTGTCGAGGTCAAGGACGATAGTTGGCTGGAAAAGGCGGAATACCGTTATCGTGCAGACCAACAGTTGCGTGATAGGTACCGGTTCATGCTCCACGATTGCCCTACGCCCCGTCTGTGGGGCCTCAGCCTTCTCGGTACTGCGATGCGCATCTATTGTGGCCACAAGGACGCATCCTCGGTTGCACCTGCGACTATACTCTCCCCGGAACCTGTGGATCGTATTCTCCCTGCAGACTTCCTAGCTAGAGAATGGGATTTAGATATATTATCATCTGAAGGTTTCGCAAAGATCAAGGAGATCGTTACTGATATATTCAACAATACTGGGAACTTGTAATGGGTAAGTGTCCAATGCTCGGTTTGCATTCCAGATTGTGTTAATTCTTGTATAATAGTATTACCTTACTGGTCCGTTGAATAAGAGTTTCTGTCACGGATCCGGAACTTTCTTATCCGATCTATTGTACTGTTACTGTAAAGCATAAAATTCACAGTGATAGGTACAGAAATAAATAAATCAGTTTTATACTGCAACTCGTGCAATTGGCTTCACTCAACTCTGTGTCCATGTCCATCCACTCTGTTGACAAGCCCAAAGCTTTGTGGTGCACCACCTTTCTTTGGAAAATATTGGACTGGCCAGGAATTGAACCTGGGACCATCTCTAATGCAGACTAGACACTCTATCACTGAGCTACCAATTCTTTAGATACTCAGTAGTGAAGTCAATCCTCTATGGCTGTTAACATTCCATATACACAGAAACTGTGAGAGACAGTCACACATCTGCACTGCTCTAAAGTTGAGTCTTGACTGTCAACTAACCATATCCAACACATTCAACCTTCAGGTTTTGCTCTGACAGCACAGTTTGCAGGGACTCAAGATCATTTGGTTCAATATATAATATGTACAGAACAGACAATTGTCACCTGGATCTCTTGCTCTGTGCCAAACTGCTCACCCTGGGACCATAAGAATACTGTAGCATTGACTGCAAAGTGAAATACCTGGTAGGTCAGTGTTTCAGTCACATGAGAAGATTCTGTCTCCAAAATGGGTCTGCACTGTATATATATCATAGCAAGGTGACCAAGGCAACACTAAAGTCACCAGCATCTACCAGAGTATTGCTGGGCAGACCACCACCTTATCACTTGCCACTATCAGTTGTCTCTGAAGATTGAACTTTGTCAGCTAGGGTAGAGGATGGCTAGGGGAAATGGACTGTAATGGTTTCAAGCTGATGAAAGCTCTCATCAGGGGGATACCACTACCCCTTTCACCTGTCCAAAATTACTGATTTGGAGTCTACTACTGAGCCTGGTCCAAAGGAAGTGATAAGATAGTCAATTCATGCCGACCTACACATGCATCAAACTCTGAGAATCTTGGTGACCCAGTGGCAGGTAGTATATGGTTGGGTGGTGCACCTGTCAGGGGAGGGAGGCTTTGACCCATGACCAACAGTCACCAAAGCTGACAGGTCATGTACCAGGGCCAGCAGGTTTCCCTGGTGGATCAGATTTTGTCAGTGTCCATACAGCAAGATGATGAACGTCACTGTATCATTGACAGTCACAGGGTGATTGCAAATCATGGAGCTGTTATAACACAGATGGCTCATACACGGCAATACGGCAACTCGGGCTCGCTCATGTCCCCATCAGCATGCTTTGTGCAATGGAGCCTGCGGCCCCCCGGATTCGCTTCCACTGGGGTCCGCTCACCAAATACGGACAGAGGAACGGACTAATAAATTAGACCGCGGTCTTTGTAATGGGAGTGTTTTCCCCATTATCTCCCTTGGGATCATGCTGTATTGTCAATACTTTAGAAATGGCTTATAGGACCGTTATGGCTAATTTCGGTTGGGAACTACTAAACCACACTAGCTTAGTGGTTCCTATATTATATATCAGGTGCACACCTGAAGACTGGTATGTTCGGCGGTCGCACAGTCCCGTAGACTGTGGCAGACGTCCTTCCAAAGCAATTCCAAAGAATCGCCCACTCCCCCACAACCCGTCACAAACCCAAGTGAAAATATTTGCTCGCGTCAAATTGATCTCCTCTTTATGTTGCTGATAGAGTATCTAATATACATTATTACATCGGCCGTGAGCTTGTTCACGAATGCAATTGTTAGTTGAAGAAGCGACAAAAAGTGTCCGTAGTATTAAACATTAACAAACTTAAACCAGTTTATTCGCGCACAAAATTACTCCATTTGCGGGTAGGCAACAAAGCTCGTGTTAGAAGCGAGGCTCATGTGCTACACTGCTTCGTATCTATCAATTTTTTTCTACCCTCAACTGAACGAATTGTTGAACTACTGGCATCATATATTTCAAAGCTACATGTTCAATTGAGCCATTGGGAAAAGACCTCACTAAAGCTAAGTGGTGGCAGCGTATTATTGTGCTTGCTTATTGCACCGGCAGTAGGCATGCTTAAACCTTATTTTATTTTATTCTGGATTGACATCTCATACTATAAGTAGTTATATTGGGCTAAAAGGGACAGAATTAAATACGTACACACTGACTGATGTCAAAATCACGTACCAAAAACCATTCCATGGATACCCGTGATGGCCACATTTCAAATTAATATCAAGAAACAACACCTTAAGTCAGAGTCAAAAATGTTGCATCGGCGTTATGACTTGGGAGTATTCCTTTGTCTCCGGTGAACGTAATACACGCATTCCCCTCGTCGAAAGCAAAGAACAAAGCGTTGGAGCGTTCGGAATGGGTGGTGGTATTGAGCCAAGGTGCAAGCTGACCAAATCTCACCATTGTCGCGGTCATGGTTACACTGTGATGTTTTCCAAAGCCACTGTCTTCCTATTGGTATGTTCGTGGACAGATGACACACGCGAAGTGTTGCCAACGTCATGACAGGTGATGCCCAGCGGCCGTTTTACCAGCCTCACACACTGCTGGCTGCATTTGGACGATCCTGCACATCACCAGACTCCTTTTATAATCGTTTGGATAAGGCCAGGGATGACAACAACAACGTGTGTTCGTCATACTGACACTTTTTGGTAGCCTGGTCCTAATCATACCATAATCAATCACATCCGCCCATGAAGAACGTTGGTGCTTATTCCCTACTATTCTATGCATTGCCTCCAATATGGGCGGCGTTCTGACATCGAAGTCTTCCTGAACCTGTACGACTGTACAATTTGCTTTTATACTACACCGCCTCCCCCCCATATCTGGCATGCCAGCGCCATAATAGAAGGTATCACGGGAGTTTTTCGGAGTTGGCAGCTTGTCGCTGAGGAGTTGGCCCTGATAAGGACACATCTTCCACTGACAATCGGCGATCATGTTGATAAATCTATATTGCAATCTACCCTGCATTATCGATCTTAGATCCTTCCGGGAATCCGAGGGCTGAAGTACTAAACGCTGGCTGCGCCTTCCATCATGGCTCGTGTGGAACAACGCTATTTCTGGTGGTATATTCTTTCTGCATTTTTCTTGCAGAATAAGAGTGATACCACGACCATCACGGTCCGTGAATATGCGTATACCGTTCGATTCAGCCCCCCAGGCTGAGAGAGATAATGTGAATCTGCGTTACACGCATGAGCAGTCCCGTGGCCCACTGGTAAGTCGAGGCAAAAAAACTTGCATAGTGCGATGCATCCTGACCATTGTCAAAAGGCTCTTACTGTTGCTGCTGGCATCTCGCTTTGCTCTGTAACAGCTGTTCTCCTCGCCATCCTGGTAAGCTAGCGTCTTCTCAATCCAGCCTACTCCTTACAACTCCAACTTCCAAGATCGATGGCTTTCGTACGCGCCACCAATTCGTCAGGTCTCAGGTCGGCGCGTGCTTTTTGTCGCTAGTCCTTAGCGATCTTTTGCAAGCCGCGGGCTCCGTGATGAATTTGAAATGGGTTCTTATTGAGGTGCGACGCGAGAGCTCATGACTAGGGCTTCTAACTTTACCGTGGTTTACAGGGGGTGGAGGTCGGGCATTTTTGTACTACGCAAGGTTTCATTTTCCATAATCCAATCTCTTGTCTTTGTGTTCTAATGTACATGTAGCTGCTTTGAAGCAGACTGGCAACATAGGCATAGCCATCTGGTCAGACCATCTATCATATTATTAGCCATTAAGCACTTATGAATATGTTATCAGGTCGCTTGTAGGTTTGCCATTCAGCCCTAAGGCTTGTAGAATTGACTTTCTAGCAGATCATCGCTCTTCACACATTTTTCCTCCTATTCCTTCGTCTGCGGATTAGTAATTCAGTATTCTCCTTCATTCTTGGAGGCGCTTGGGCTCTCATAGGCTTCATTGTCATGATAGGGCCTGTCATTATTCAGAATTCCGCGAGGGGGCCGTTCTGGGGTATTTCAGTATACTGGTGTTGGATCACAGACAGTTAGTAACTACTACGAAGATCGAGAGCCTAAATTAAACCGTCCACTACGATAGAGTATCATATTGAACAGTTCACCAACGAATATCTATTTGTGAGTTTACTACACATTAATCATGAGAGCTACTCACCCTCTTTCCAACCATAGATGTTCATTACGGTTTTCTCGAGCTTCATTCTTTACAGTTTAATTTTTCTACGCCTACGTGGAAACTTATCAGGGTATGGTAATACCTTTCGACTACAACGGGCGACTACTCCCTGGATGGCCAACCACGACAACTCACAGATGGCAGCTGTAGGAAAACAAATGCTTTGGTACGATCATAAATTAGAGTTGCTGCTGTCATTCACCCACATAATCATAGGTACCCTGTAAGTGTTGGGATAATTGTGAGTCTCACTTGAAACTCACGACAATTGGTAGGTGGCATATGCGATGGTTGTTCTTCCCATTGCCGTCTGTCGCTGGATGGTCATATTCGGGCATCCCGTCCCATACACGGCCACCATGGTGTCAGACTCAATTTTCGTACTATCGGGTACGATCCATTTGGTTACATACACTTAATATATGTGAAGAATGTATTAACTTCCATACAGGGTTCGTAAATGCCATATTATACTCGACGACGCGTAAAATAGTCTCGCTCCGCGCACTGCTTCCATTCTCGCGACTGTTATCCCGTCGGTCACTAAGTATATCATCCAAAGGTTCTCTCGATGACATGAAATTCGCCCCGCCTGTCTTCTCACGCGAAGGCCGCAAGCCTCCAGAAGGCATAGAAGATGTAATCTCACGACGCGGGTCAGATTATCCAGGCGATGCTCGGGCCGAGTTCTTGCAGAAACCAGTTGATTTCATGTCCCATGATATCGACTCTCCTCGGGGTACATTTTCGGAAAAGCCAGCTCTGTCTGTTTCAGTCGTTCTTCCATCACCGGCCCATACTCGCGCTCCTATACATTCTCATCCTCATGATCACTCAAATTCTCAGACACCAATTGATGTCGCTCCAACTCCAACAACAGATGGTGCGCCTTCGGTTCACCGCAAATGTTTTTCAGGTTGGGGCTTTCCCAGTGTAAGGGATGGGCTGCAAGCACACGACTCGACGGGCGATCTATCCGAAGGACTGTCGGCAAGTTTAGAGGAGATGCGTTTTGCTACGCCGTCCCCTCCTAACGTTGCAAAGCAGGCGCCAGCGCAGTAACAATTTGGGATGTATTGTATCGTCGAGGTGAAGATGGTGGAGTAGACACATGCGGGTCATTGTCATATTATAGTGTAAAATCCAG